CTACCTCTGGCCACCACTAGAGGGACACTCCACTCCAATCCAGCTGGCTGACCACACACACAGGCAGATATGAATCTTATATACAATCTGGTGCACACTAAGGGTTGAGGAGCAGCCTAGAAATTGGCACCCCCTTCTAGGATTCCTCCAGCTATCCTACAAGCTAGAACCCCGGTGTTAATCACTCTTCCACTGTCCACACACCCCCCACACCAGACACACCACAAACGGTAGCTTTCCACCACCCAACAGTTTATCCGCAGACTGGTCTGCTGGGCCACCACACACACACACAGATATCCTACTTTACAATAATCTACATACAATCTGCCAACACGTAGTGCAATTGCATACAGATAGGCAATGAACTTGACCGAGTGTATAAAGACACTGCAATACAACACAATCTCCCCAGAGATATGAGCCCGAGCTTAAGTACCCAGAAGTCACTTATTAATTTTATGATTTAATATCCCGAAAGTGGGCAGTGCATAAAATATGTACAAAGTAAAAAAGTTACAGAAAATACAAAAAATACAAGAAGACACACAATTGGCTATTGACTATAAAATAAAAGAGAATAAAAACAGAAATAAAACTTTTACCAAGAGTTATCCTGAGACTGGAGCAAGTCAGAGAAAGTCCGCGATCCGCCAGTCAATAGAACCGGCTCCATACAAATCACACCATCCATATCTCAGGTCCTTAATTTATGGAAATATGGACATAGGCTTTACATTAGCCCTTGGCCAATCAACTCTGGGGGGTGTTCCTGTACCAGCCCACAGGACATTCTGGCTACTGAAATGCCCAAAGTCGATTGGACCAGGAACAGTTTGAATCACCAAGTCATGGATTGAATTTCCAACACCAGCGCATCAGTCCGATCGCAACAGTACCAATCACTGTCCAGCTGTCGCAATCAGGCACCATATAACCATTTTCTGCATTTCTCTGGGATTCTACATAGGCTACAAATACAGTTTTACATGCAGATGTAGCCTACAGTGTGTCCAATCAGAAGGAAGTATTTTCATCTCTCTGCAACTAATATTTTAGCTTTTATAAGAGATGAAATATATTCCTTTGATCTGTGTATGTACGTCAAAGCTCCCAGACACATCGGAACCACCTCTGGTCTCCCGCTGTGTCATGAAGCCGAACTGTCTAGAGCCTTTTCCTTCCAGATTTCCAGAAGGTGACTAACCTCCTAGATTGTAAGCTCGAAAGAGCAGGGCCCTCGAACCCCTCGTGTATCACATTGTATTGGTATTGTTCTGTCACATGTTCTGTCCCCCTTTGTAATGTACAGCGCTGAGCGAACTATTGGCGCTTTATAAATACTGTATAATAATAATAAAATAATAATAATCTTATTGGCATCCAGGTGTCACCTCCAGTCTAGAGGATGCTCTGTCCCTTCAGATGCTAATTGGTGACCATATGTCTCTGACTTAATTCTGAACACATCTTATATTATTAGAACATGGACTGAAGCTAAACCTACATTGTCATATTTCTACAGATCACATCTCAGCTACTCAAATCTAACATGTACGTTACACCTACCACCAAAGAACAACCCAAAATAAATTTTCCAGCTCTTGACTATCGCAGCGATACCATGTATGTGTATGTTATTTGTTGTTTGTACCCACAGTACAGCCCAGAAACAATAGTGCGCATTTTGTTTTTTGTTTACCTAAAACACACTGACACTAACTGACACTAATACCATTTTTTTTAAAAAATTAAAAATCCTGACCTTTGACCCTGACCTGGACCTTTGACCCTGACCCAAACATTTACCCTGACACTGAACTAGATCAAACCTTGATCTAGGTATTTTTTCTTTATTTTATTTTTTAATATTTATTTTTATTTTTTTTTCTAACAAACATTTTTTTTCGCTCTATGCCAGGAGTTAGAGAGATACAATGTATCTTTCTCCTCCATTCATAGAGAGAGAAAAAAAAAACAAGGGGGCCGGGCTGTACAGTGACTGATCACTGTGATAGCCAATCAGAGGCAATCACAGCGATCATGTGACCCGGAATCGGGAGTCCCGGGTCCTGATCGTTAGAACGGAACCCGGTGCTCTCAGTGACACCGTGGTCTTTGTGCTGGGAGCGCACAGTGTGGCGTGCTCCCAGCACAAAGACATGTACGCAAATATGCAGTCTCACGGAAAAAAGCCCAGTTCTGTGAAGCCGCATTTTTTGTGTTACGTCGGCTATATTCATAGAATTTGCTTCACCCCTTTTACCATATTTGCTGGGTTATACCCAAAAATGTACTGACAAAAGGGGCTTTATGGCGACTTAAACGTTTACTATTTTTAACATTGCGCTGTTTATCTCCTCCTCCCTGCCTGTCTCCAGTACCACACCCAGAAAGTAGCAGGGAGGGGAGAGACCTTGCAGTGTAATGAGCACTGATTGGCTGCTCGTTAGGAAAGGGGAGTGTCAGACTTATCCTTTATCCCTTTCGCTGCCAGAGCTGTTTTTGCGGTTTTTGCAGACGTTTAAAAAATCATTTAAGGCCTGAAGATGACACAAAACTCCAAAACATGAATTATTTAGTGAAATCAGAGACCCTAGAGAATAAAATAGTGGTAGTTCCAATTTTTTTTTATATCACACAATATTATCACAAAGGTCTAGGAAACGCAAATGTCAGTAATAAATACACTTAAGTTAATTTTAGGGCACAAAAAGCAATAAATGATCCAATTGTTTTGTAAAATATAAAAGACGAGGTTGCATCGAGTAAATAAATATGCAACACGTCAACCTTAAATTTGCATGCGCTGTGAAACGGCAACAAACTTTAGTATCCTCTATTTTCTATAAGTAGTGTTTTAAAGCCCCTTATAGGTCATCAGTATAGTGTACGGAGGAGGTCTGGTGCTAGAATTATTGCTCTCATTCTGGCATACACGGCGATATGTGACATGAGTATCACAATCATCGTTTTCATACGTAGGAGCCCCCGCGCATGCTTTCACGTTTGTACGTGCGTATATGTGGGGGTGGGGGGCCCTGAAAATTTTGGGGGGTTTATATGCTTGGGTGTAACTTAAATTTTTTTTTTTTTTTATCACATAGGGGACAAAAAGTCCCCTATGTGATTTTTTTTTGGTGACAGGTTCTCCTTTCTGAGACATCCAGGGTCTAAAAGACCCTGCATGTCTCCCCTGTGCTCCACTGAATGTAATGTGGTGCACATCGCACTGCATTACATTCTTTCCCAGCCTTGATGGCCGGGAATCTGTCAACGGGGACCCGGAAGTAACATCACATCACTTCTGGGTCAGGACAAGGAGGGGAGTGGATGCATCTGCTCTCCCTCTCCTATACCGGCATCCTGGCATACCGCTGGCACCCACTGAACCAGTCCTGGACCCGCAGATAGGAAAGCAGAGCCCGGGATATATAGCGGGCAGGGGGGCGGCGGCTGGCACTGTGGGCTGTGTGGAAGCAATCGGGTAGCTGCTCGAATGCTTCCACCTGACAGATGAACCCTGCATGGCGCCCGGAACTAAGGATTTACACGGAGTGAATACACACAATCACTTGCATGAGAATTATTTTGGAGCACCATTATTGGATACTTTATATGCATCTTGTGTGGACTCATATTTGATTATGTATGTTTTTTTATTTTATTTGATTTATATTGGCGGGTTTTGTGTGTCATTCACTATTGTATTATATGACACTGTTCACACCTGCACTTGTTTATTCCCATAGGGAATTCACGTGTTGCACTTTATTTTTATTCTGTATATAATCTATTCCTTTACCCCCTGCGTGTATTGAGGGGGTTCAGATTTATTCATTTATTTATGGTTAGTATTTCTTTAGCGCTACACTGTTTTGTATATTTAGTCACTTCACCTATTGGGTATGAGGTTAGTGTCAGCAGCTTGAGTTGTAGGGCTCCATTTTAAGCGCAGAAGGATCTTCTCTTTTTTTCTTTTTCTCTTTTTTTCTCCCTCCTGTGCTTTCCTCCAGTGGTAGGTGGGTCATAAATACATGTCAATGAAGAGCATTCTCCTGTTAGCTCAAGGGTGAGTTGCTATCATGTCCTTTGAACCATGGGGCCACAGAAAATGGGTTCAGACTGGGGCTGAACTACGCAGGAGGACTTAAGAGTGCAGTACTGAGGTATATTGTTTGGCCATTTTTGTTTGGGGGGAAGCTAATACTTCAGAGTGGTTGTAAACCCTTACATATACCCAGTGAAGTGACCGGCCTCAGGTGATACACAGAGATGAAACAAATCCTCCTACACAAGTTGTACCTGTTTATCTGCAGTCTTCTCTACATCTGTTCAAATCCTGGGCTTATACAGGTTGTCTGAGCTTTCAGAAATCAGGGGTGGGGAGCTGAAGTTACATTCTACAGAACTCAGCGAGGAGAGCTCTAGGAACTGATTGGAGGGAAGACACATCCCCCCACCCCCTCCACACAGTTCACAGGAACAGAGCTGAAGCTGTCAATCACAGGCTGAAGATCCCTCCTCGTCACCTTTTTACCTTTGGTGTCAGGAAAACCTGTCAGAAATTATTCATGCTGATAGCAGAGGAACAAGGCAGCAGATAGAAATGACAGGTAGTGCTCTGGATTGAACATTTACTGTATTATAGACGGATATGCTTTGTTCATATTTCATGTCAGAGGTTTACAACCAGTTTAAGGTAAACCTTGCACTAATAACTCAAAATATGGCCATGCTCAAAAATACTAAAAGCTATCCAGTTAAAGAAAATATATGCAGTCATAAATATTGCTACTGGGAATGGAGGATATCCATGATCTTTCCATTTGGTTCTGAGACCTGTGTAGTGGTGAATGCCCACTGTACATCCCAGTTTTTGCATTTCATACACAAGAAGAGCTTTATGTATGAAGGCAGAAAACACCTCCGCCATCTCTCCTCCCATGTATGACCACCATGTAGACCCCTGTTATACAGAACACACAACTGCTTCTTACTTGTCTTCAAATTTTGAGGAATGGTGATGAAACTGGATATCGGTAGCTTGATTGTTGTATCTTCCACACTTGTCATCTATGTCATACGCCTCCACCTTGTCCGACCAATCCATCTCCAGCTTCTCCTTGGCATCTCTGTTCATCCTGAGAAGGAACAAATATGGACACAAATAAAGACTCCATCTCAACTGAGTGCAGGTTCATTCTGAGATAACATCAATTACTGATCCCCTATGAATAAGTCGGAAGTGACGAAACGCGTCAGGACAAGGCTGTGCAGCCGCCATCAGTGACGCGAACCGGAAGTGACACAGGAGCGTCTGAGATTGAAGGCCGGCGGTGGTGAGAAAGCTTATACAAATAACATCTTTGGGCTTTACTACATATTTGCATTCTGTAAGTAGCACTCTACTGTGGCGATAAAACTGTTTAAATGGTATTGCACCATGTAGGGTTCTCTCGTTTTTTATCTTCTATATGATCTAATGTAAGTGGAGTATTAGAAGGAGGATTTTTTGCCTTGGAGATCGGGAACAGTTATCCTGGGATTCCAGTGCCGCAAGTTGAAGGAAAAATCATTTGATCTAACCCTTGGAAAATTATTAACCAAAGCTCAGAGTGCCAACCATGAGAGTGGGAGGCAACACTGGTGAGTGCACACCTGAGAGGGGAGCACCGCACATATATATAATTTATTTTTTGCACAGGTTTTTCATGTGGTGAATATTTGATGGACTGAATGATTTGTTTTTCCTTGGAATAATATGAATTATTTATGATTTTTTTTTTTTATGTGGTGATTACTTGATGGACTGAATTATTTGGACTTTTATTTTTGAATTATTATTATTCAGTTTATATTATCATTATGATAATAATATTATTTATTATTTACATATGATTAATATCTTTTTGTGAGTTTTTACACTGATAATTGATGCATGCGCTACCGGAATATTTTTTCTTTCAAAAATTTTTTTTGCACACAATTACTGAGCCCTGCCCCAAAAAGAGGCAACTAACCTTCTACAGCCTTCTCCATTGTTGTAGACATTTACCTCCACAATCGGACAGGAATTGGCAGGAAGATTCTATATTAACCACGTGCTTACTTGGGCAATTTTGTAATTTTTCACATACATGTTAAAATCTGCTTCTTTTTTTTTTTTGCTAGAAAATTACATAGAACCTCCAAACAGTATATATTTTCTGAAAGCAGAGGCCTTGGGGAATAAAATGGTGGCTGTTGAAATTTTAATGTCATACGTTATTTGTGCAGTCGTTTATCAAATGCAAATAATCAGGAAAAAATACACTTGAAGGTATTATAGTGCACACAAACACAATATAATACACATTGTTTTGGTAAAAGATTGGATAAAAGATGATGTTAAATTGAGTAATTAGATACCAAACATGTCAAAATTTTAAATATCGCACATCCCTGAAATGGTGACAAGCTATGGTACCTAAAAATCTCCATAGGTGATTCTTTAAAAGGATTTTTCGGTTACCAAATTTGAGCTAAATGTGAGCTAAATGTGAGCTCTGGTGCTTATTGCTCTCACGCTGACATTCATAGCGATGCCTCACATGAGTGGTACAAACACTGCTTTCATTATGCATGCGGGACCTACTTGTGTGTTTGCATTTGTGCGTAAGCACCGCTGCGGAGGCACTTTAATTTTTTTTTCTTTTATCATTCAGTTTTTTTTTTTTTTTTTTACACTTTCTGTTTAATTTTTTTTTTAATTTAACTTTATTGTTATGACAAGGGATGAACAAGTGCACTGCGGCAGGCACATTACATTTTTCTCATTTAGTTTTCTTTACTTTTTTTACACTTTCTGTTTAGTTTTTTTTTTTAATTTAACCTTTTTTGCTATCACAAGGGATGAACAACTGCACTGCGGCAGGCGCATAACATTTTTCTAATTTATTATTATTATAATTATACAGTATTTATAAAGCGCCAATAGTTCGCTCAGCGCTGTACATTACAAAGGGGGACAGAACATGTGACAGAACAATAACAATACAATGCAAAACATGAGGGGATTGAGGGCCCTGCTCTTTCAAGCTTACAATCTAGGAATCATTTAGTTTTCTTTTTTCTTTTTTTTTGTACACTTTCTGTTTACATTTTTTTTTTAATTTAACTTTATTGCTATCACAAGGGATGCAAATGGTGGGAAATGTGCTGGAGCGAGTAATACAGTATTACAGCTTATCACACCTAGCCTCAAGGAACCTTTTAATCACCTCAGTACCGCGCCACAGCCAAAATACGGCTACAGTGTGGCTCTCTTGTTCTGGGAGGACGCCCCCTGGGCATGCATTAGGCACACTCTGTGACCGCTGTATCCTTTGGACACAGTTGATCACGGATCGAGGTAAAGGACCGATCACAGTGGCCCTTTACCATGTGATCAGCTGTGTACAATCATAGCTGATCACATGTAAACAAACTTGCAAGTTTTTGGCATTCCTTTCCTCAACCGATGTCACTGTGTGAGGAAAGGAGAGTCGATAACTGGCATGGCTGACTAAGAAAAACTTTTTTTTTTTTTTACAAAAAATTATTTTTTTGTTTGTTTATCAACAAATGAAATACCTAGTGGTGATTAAATACCACCAAAAGAAAGCTCTATTTGTTTAAAAAAATTATAAAAATGTCATGTATGCAATGTTACATAATCGTGCAATTGTCAAAGTGCAACAGCACTGAAAGCTGAAAATTGACCTTGGGCAGAAAGGGGGTGAAAGTGCCTGGTATTGAAGTGGTTAATTCTTGCTGTGTGTGTGTGTGTGTGGGGGGGGGGGGAGAGACCAATGCAGAGCTATTCTTGTGCCTGGAGTTGGGCTTTAGATAATGACAAAGTTATTGCCAAATCAACAAGCCCATAGCAGAAATATAAAAATGGTCCTGGTCCACAGGGGGACAATAAAGGAAAAAAAAAAAAAAAAATATATATATATATATATATATATATATATATATATATATATATATATATTCTGCAGCACTCAACTGTAAGTAAATCTGCACTTGCAGGTGTTTCTCAGTCCTGCTGCAAAGTCCCATAAATACCTGTCAGTCCGGCTGAAAATGTCCACCTTATGCAGCTTCCTGTGATGTGGTGACAACAACACTACTGCACGGCTTCCAAATTTACAGCAGAGTTGTCACTCTTGTGTGGGCTGTTCCAACTTGCACTACAGTGGGAGGAGATGTTGCACAGGGCGTGGCTTGTCAATCATCACCTGGCCACACCCAGCCCTGCCCAGTGCTTATGTGGATTGACAGCACTGCCTTTGCTGCTGCTGAAGCTTCGCACTGTGAGCTGCAGTGTCTGGGAGGGGGAGTGCATGAGACACAAAGGATAGTGAATTTGGCTGTCAGGGATGGTAGAGGAAATTTCTTTTTAATTTATGAGGCTTTTGCATCCCATAGTGACTGGATATGGGACCTATTTAGACTGTCATACAGGAGCCTTTAGATGTCGATGAACACTGTACTTAATATAGTGCGGTATTGGATGATTTGTATACACTAAGCGCTCTCTATATTAATATGGAATACTTCCCTCATTAGTGTGACCCCCATTCACATCCTCTCCTCCACCTTCATCATCACTTCATATGTCTTCCTTCTCTTCTCCCTCTACTGCCTTCCTGGATGACCTGAATAGAATTTCAACCATTTGCCGAGAAGTATAAAGCTCCTTTAGATGATGGCTTTCCAGATCCTAACAGTCCTTTGCAGACACGTTCCATTGCCAGGCTGTCGATCATCCGGTTGTTCGTCTCCTGTCACCTCTGACCTCTCCCTTTCTGAAGACTTCTGTATGAGAAGCTGCTCATCACACAACATCAAACCGCCGTTCTCCTCCATACTTCGCAACCACTGACAGCTGTCTGACGCCACCATCGCCATGAACAAAACCACAAGGTGTGAGCGCGTGGCCAGGGGCTGGGGTTACACAGGTGTACGGTCTTTACGTCTCCCAGGTCAATAGTAAAGTCTTTATGGGTATTACTAAAATATCTTCCCAAAACACATGGTATTTAAAGTTCAACTTCAGCCACAAAAAACATTTTTCCCTCCAGAGGATCCCCCCCCCCCCCCCCCCCCCCCTCCCTTCCTGACCAGGCCATTTTTTGCGATACGGCGCTGCGTTACTTTAACTGACAATTGCGCACCCTGAGAAAGTTGCTTGCAGTAGAAAGGAAGTGACTGCTAGCAAAGCTGAAGAAGATCCTCAGCACTAATATGCAATAAAGGATGAAAAAAGGTGAAAATTTAAAATATTTTTTAACCCCTCGCCCTCCAGAGGATTTACCCCCCTTCCTGACCAGGCCATTTTTGCGATACTTTAACTGACAATTGCGAGGTCATGCAGCGCTGCACCCAAATGAAATTTATCTCCTTTTTTCCCACAAATAGAGCTTTCTTTCAGTGGTATTTGATCACCTATGCGGTTTTTATTTTTTGGGCTATAAACAAAAAAAGACTGACAATTTAAAAAAAAAAAACCCACAATATTTTTGACTTTTTGCTATAAAACATATCCAATGAAAAAATTTTAAAAAATCAAATTTCAGCATAAATTTAGGCCAAAATGTATTCTGCTACGTTTGCTAAAACAAATCCCAATACGTGTATATTAATTGGTTTATGTGAAAGTTATAGCTTATGGAGGTATATATACTGGAATTTTTATTTTACTTTTTCTTATACATGTAATGGCAGCGATCAGTGACTTATAGCGGGACTGCGGCGGGCATTCTGACACTGGATGGGAACTGACTAATGCAGGCCATAGATGGGTCAAAAATCAGCCGATTTTTCGGCCGAAAAAAAAATCGGATGATTTTCGTACCGTTAGTGGGTTAATTGGTCAGCCGTTTTTCGGGGTTTTGGCACTTTTTTTATCGGTAAAGTTGGAAAAAAAATCGGCCGATTTTGCCGATCGGCCAATTTTCCCGGCAATGATGGGCAAATCGGCCGATGGTTTACCGATAAAAAATCTGCGCATGAGCCTTGACCTGCAAGAAGAAGAAAAAGAAGAAGAAGAAGAAAAAGAAGTGAAAAAGAAGAATTCCAGTCCGCTATTATATTTGACATGAAAAAGTATTGCGGT